GTTGCTCTGTCCATGTTCAGCAGACCTTGCACATGTTTAAAGATGATCAAATCCGTCCTGCCATACCTGTCCTGCAGCAGCTTGCTGGCAGTAGCAAAGTTGGCACCAGTCAGCGGGAGCCCAGCAATGCACTGAGCAGCCTCACCCCGCAGAAGGGACCGAAGATAGGCCAGTTTAGTAATGTCCGCTAACTCCTCCTTATCACCAACTGCTGCTTGAAAACACTCCCAGAAGTTCAACCACTTCAGGACGTCCCCATCAAAACTGGGTAGGTCTAACTTCGGGAGTCTCGGCAGACCAGAGGTTCCAGCATTGGAGGCCCCACCAGAGTGAGCAGGCAGGTTCGGATCAATATCACGAAGGAGAAGCTTACCAGCAGTGCGTAGCACCTTGCTGATACCGCTGCGAAAGTCAGCAGCCTCTTCCACAACTTCTGGCAGCTCCGACTCATCAAACTCAATTTCCAGCGCAGCTTGAGACGAATCTAGCGCACTCAACCTCTGCTCGACCTCGGCTTTCAGCTCTTGGATTTCATAGCAATCCGGCTCTGGAGCGCTACACGCCAGCTGGAGGGCCCTGCACGATCGCGTGGCCCAGCCCCTAGCCGCGGCGCGCGCTCTCTTCAATCTCTCCACGTCCATGTCGTCACCAAACCGACCGGCGTGGTATAAATAGACGAAACCAGCGCAGTACTATCTTGCTTCTGGGCACCAAACATCCAGAAGTACTCGATCAAAGATCACTGGTTCTACGTCCCGCAGTTTCGGCACCAAATGTTCAGGAAACCAAACTTCTGAACTCAACATCAACTCTATTCGCCACTGAGCAAAAAGCGAACATCGGGCGCGCAGCTAACCGCCCATCACACGCAACAACAATGACACGACAGCAAAAAAAGAGAAGCAAGAGATGGAAAAAACGGTCAATCACAAAACAAGCAAATCACAAATTCCACCTCAGAAAACACTACCCTTAAAGCAATAAATCAATAAAAAAAAAACACCAATTGATTTTAGAACATTAAACAAGGCAAAAAATAACCACGAAATACAGATGGGGCAAAGGCACGCGTTTGCCGCGACATCTATATCGGCCGCGGACCATAACCCGCGCCGTCTGGCGGCACATCGTTTTCTTCAACAGGCACCTTCCAAGTTTTGATCATCACGGGTACTGAACGTATAAGCCATGGAACCCTTCACTTCTCCGTTCCAGCATGCGGCTTGCGAAGTCATTTCGATAGCCATGCCACTCAAATTCTGTCAACCAGCTGACAGGCATCCTGTGAAAAGTCCACTGATCATCTCTAGCACTTCCCAGCAGCATCACCCCGTTAGAGGCATCCGCTTTTTGGAGCCGTCCAAAAGTTTGTTCAAGCAGCGCGTGCCACGGAAGTTTTCCAGTGTTTTTCACTTGTTAGTTTTCCTATTACTTGGAGCCACAAACAACGAAATCTCCTAAAGTTCCCAGAGATCATTCAGCGTTTCACTCTTTCACTTATGACGAATAAGTTCGCTTTATAATTATTTTCCCGTCCATTAAAAAAACAAAAACAAAATCAAAAGCATTCAGAAATAGATATTGCTAATCAAAAGGTAGTTATTTTTAGTGAACTCTTCTCTTGGCGAAATCAAAGTGCTATTTTAATTGATTACGCATCTTCCTAGGTACACAACCGCCCATTCTGTTACCATTTTTGCGAAGACTTCCCTTATACGTCGCACATAGATGACAGCGACTTTTTCCGTCACGTGAAAATTCACTCGCGCTGTCTGATTATTTTCCACCAGATTTGAGCGGGGCGAAAACAGGCAATTCAGGACTGTCAAAAGACGAAGGCGCGGCAGGACGACCGGAGATGGGGAGACATTTAGGGAGATGAGCGGCAAGGTAGGGCCGACCAGAGCCGCTTTGTCCGAGCTGGCTCTTTCTGAGTTGTTTGTCGGCAGTGTCACTGAGGCAGCCGGCTGAAAATGGCAGCTGCAGGCCAGCCGGCGGCAGCAGCTGTCCCGATTGATTGGAAAGTGGGATTGGTCCGGATGGGATAGCCTATAGAATTGTTTTGACCTACGGGTCATTTGCATATCTACTAACAGGGAATCTGCACTCCCGCATCAAATTTTCCTCGCAACCGCTCCGTCGTTTTTGAAAGACCAGTATGGCGTACGATATACGGCGCAAAATATACAGCGTATACGTACAAATTGTGTGTGTGTGTGTTTTTTTTTTAGATCAAGGTTTTTAGATGATTGTAGATCAGCCTCGTACGCAGCATTTCAGCTTGGTTGTGCTAGTAACGTGACATACCTAAGCGTTCTGTTTTGATCGCCAAAACAAAACCGTGTGGACATTAATATTAGCAATAGGTCCTGTTCCTGAATCTGCCGTATTGATCGAAACATTTGATGCCATAAGAAAATGCACCAGTCTCTGCCGCCGTCTTTGGGTACTAGTAGGCCGCCGTGTAAAGTAGTTCTGCAGTCTTGCAACTATGTACTTTAGCTAATTAGGTACATACACACAGCCTACTCCATACCGTTTACAATGGCCTTGAAATTATCACATTACTGCAGGCATGCATATGTGAAGTTAAGCTGGTCCAAATATTTATTCACCACTCGAATGTCCCCTACCTAGGCCCTAACTGACTGCGCCCTGGCCGAAGCTGAACACGGTGCGGGCGTCTATTCCCCCCCCCCCCGCCCCCTTCACCTGTCTAACCCATTAGATATTCTGCGATCGACGGCACGATATAAGGGGTGAAGGTGCAACTTCCTCCTCATCTTTGGCCCCTAATTGGGCCACAGCTTTGCTGTAAAAAAACGAGCGTGCTGCTTTCCACGAGATGAAGATTGAAGCTTACGTTACACAAATTTAAGGATTTAGGTCAGCCCTTGACCTGGTCAGCCGTTGACCTTACAGGTCAAGTCAATGACTGAAGATCTGCTATTTGGTTTGGGGAATAACTTGCAGAAATGGTCGCATACAAAACAAAATGATACTTCTAGCACCTGTCAAGATGCGTCTTTGTTTAAAAACGCTTTTGGCCCATTATCACATTTAATGACTTATGGGGACCCTGACACGTAACGGACCTAACAATTTGTAGTGGTAGAGGTTGCTCTCGTATATGGCGTTGATTTTGTTCTAAACATCCCACGATTCAGGATAGTTTAAGAAGAATGAATTATAATAGAATAACTTCGACATATTTTCTGCCATAAATGATATTGCATGACCATGAATTCGAGGAAACCTTACATGACCCATAAGGGCATCAAGAAGCAAAAATGTGCCTCACCCGCACATTTTGTTTAGGGACTAGGATCGTTTCGTTGCAGCGCTTCTTCAGCTGTAAGTAACAGGAGCCCTTGGTGCGAGCTCTTCTATCTAAATTTATTCAAAAATTAAACATACTATAGGGTAGGGTATGGTAGGGTAGGGTATGGTAGTGTAGGGTAGGGTAGGGTAGGGTAGGGTAGGGTAGGGTAGGGTAGGGTAGGGTAGTGTAGGGGTAGGGTAGGGTAGGGTAGGGTACAGTAGGGTAGGGGTAGGGGTAGGGTAGGGTAGGGTAGGGTAGGGTAGGGTAGGGTAGGGTAGGGTAGTGTAAGGGTAGGGTAGGGTAGGGTAGGGTAGGGTATGGTAAGGTAGGGTAGTGTAGGGGTAGAGGTAGGGGCAGGGTAGGGTAGGGGTAGGGTAGGGTAGGGGTAGGGTAGGGTAGGGTAGGGTAGGGGTAGGGTAGGGGTAGGGTAGGGTAGGGTAGGGTAGGGGTAGGGGTAGGGTAGGATAGGGTAGGGTAGGGTTGAATTGAGTAACATCCTAACTTATTAAGGGCTCGAATACTCGCATGCATCACCATCATACTTTATAGTTCAATTAAAAGCAGTTACCCAGTTCTACACAAATAATACCAATAAAAATGCAAGTTTCTACACCCAAACTAATGCATCCGTTTATCATACATATCAAAACATATGTACAGTTTTATAACATAAAATCTTTGCTGAGCCCAAGGCCGCTGAAACTCCATACCAGGGTATCATACCAACAGCCTCACAGAAAATATAGGAAACAATCATTTAAGGCTGTTGTCTGCCCTGGGACTTATCTGTATGTGAATGATAATAGCATGCAGATGAATGTCTCAAGAGATAACTCTAACTCTATAGTTAGAGTTATCTAACTTTATAGTTCAATTAAAAGCAGTTACCCAGTTCTACACAAATAATACCAATAAAAATGCAAGTTTCTACACCCAAACTAATGCATCCGTTTATCATACATATCAAAACATACAGTTTTATAACATACAATCTTTGCTGAGCCCAAGGCCGCTGAAACTCCATACCAGGGTATCATACCAACAGCCTCACAGAAAATATAGGAAACAATCATTTAAAGGGACCCTCCCACCTTCAAAAAAGTTAATGAATTGGCACGAAAGTGATGTCGCTCGGTTCAAAAAGAGCGAAAACGAATATCTACCAAATTTCATCGAAAAATATTCACCAGTTTTCAAGATATTAGATTTTTACTTTTGTTTACTTTTTGGGATCTCCGCTGTTCCTAGCGACTTTATTTGAAAGTGCGGCATTTGTTGCGCGCAAAGCAGCATATACCACCGCGTGCTACCAAACGTTTTAGTAAAAGATTTAAAAATCGTTAGATCTCCGCTGACGTCACAAATTCTAAGGGGGCATACCAATGCACTAGCCCCTTAGAATCCGAAAACTGCAAGTTTGAAATTCCATATCTCCGAATTAAAGCATTTGTCGATGTTGTGAGTGCCCAAACCGGTATTTGCAGGCCATGGCCACCAATTTGGCTATCTCAACTCAAAACTAATGTTAAGGTGGGAGTGTCCCTTTAAGTCTGTTGTCTGCCCTGGGACTTATCTGTATGTGAATGATAATAGCATGCAGATGAATGTCTCAAGAGATAACTCTACCTTCAGATGTGTTCGTCGAAGATCAAAAGTCGAGTCCGTCGCGGTCGCTCACCTTGGTAGGCTGAGTTCCGATGATACCGAAGGCAGCCCTCCAAAGTTGCAGCCGCCGAAAATGCTGCAACAAACATCGCATCTTCGTTAGCATATAGATGAGTCGATGGTTCTCGCACATAACTGAAAGGGACCTGACCATGTGGGAAAAATTGCCGTCACAGATCGGAACCTATCGAACCTCCTAACTCCTAAGTGAAACCACAAAACATATCCCCTGAAATCCAACAAGGGGTTGAAATACTCGTATGAGAGATGACAACGCGAACCTTTTATCTATTTCTTCAGCATTTATTAAACTGATTTAATTTCAATGGTAGAAGCTAGGAAACATACGGTTGAATTATGATATAGAACGCTATAATTATAGGTTCGGAGCCTATCACAATGCGTTCGGTGATTCTATTCATGTTGGTGCGTTGGTCGCAGCTGGCGGTGGGCCCCAATTCCACCCAGCCCTGTGCTTCATCCGGCATGTGTGATGAGCTCATTCGGCCTAAGCTGGTGGTGACAGTAGCCGAGCGCACAATGGGCCCCGGGGAGTGTTCACTCCACGCCGGCTAATGGAGGGACTAAAGACGCCGGAATAACCGAGATGCGAGAGTGTGATCGAGGATCCACTGATGAATAATGAACAGGTGGGGTTCTCAGCGAACGGCAGAGCAGCGTTCGCAGAAATCAGGACCTCTGGCTATTACGGATGGAGAGAGTGGGCGGAGAGAATTGCTCTAATTAAGAATCAACGTTAGGAAACATGTTCTGCAAGAGCCGACTTCTATATTGTTAAAATGTCTTCAACCCATGATTAAGTGTCTTACCCTTGCACTTAACTGTATCTGCACAAATAAAACACGCCCGATGGGCTAGCTCGTTTTGGCGCGCGTAAAATAAAACAATACACGCAACTAAAAAGCACGTAAATAACAAATTGTTGTTTCGGGTTCGTTTTCTTTGTCGTTTACGATCTGACGTAGACAGCCTGTAGTACGTGATTCTTGAAACAGGTGGTGTTGACACACTCGAGCCCGTACTTAAATGTGGCGCAGAGACGACTCGAGGACACACTCGGTCGTAAGTGGAAGCGAAGCCAAATGCTCGGAGCTGAGAGGATGCCACTGACCCTGTCGCACTGACAGGTGCAGGATTCAATGGCAAAGACCACTGCTATAACTACATACGTTTATCTCATAAGCAGCATATCTCACCTCAAATATCAAGTACCGATCTCACGGCGGAACATTGTTCGTGCATATTTCCTCGCACCCGCTTGCAGCCCTTGTTTTATTATCCGTTTCTGCGCTGATGCTTTCATGTGCCTCCTCCTCGGGTGTGTTTGGATTACATCCTGTCACCAGGTGTATGCACTTACCCAGGCAGTGAATAGCGTCACGTCGGAGTGCTCTGGGTGTCATTTGTGTGTCGGAGGCGGGAGACACTGTCTTCAGCAGCGGCAGAGCGCTGTTAGAGGAGCCGCCCTCAGCAGGAACGTGACGCCGGTGTTCTCTTTGAAAACCTGGGGATGTTTCCTAACCTAGCTCACATCCTCGTCACTATATATATAACAGTCCAACGGAGAAGTCCACCTTTGCTACAGAAGTCAGATTTCATCAGCTATCACTAATCAGCCGCTTTCATTGGCTTCAATCAAAACGCTCTGAGATTATCCCTCGCCCGCACATGGGGGGGGGGGGGTGGTTGCCACCCCCCCAGGTAGTCTTTCTGCTCTGCACTCAACATTTTTAGAGCTAGAAGGCTGATTTTTGGTATAGCTGCTTCTCTATCCTTTTTTGATGTCCACTGAAAATTTCAAGTTTCTGTAATTTTTGGTTTCGGAGATATGACCTTGTTTGTCAGGTCATGTCATGACCCAAATGGCCAATTCTCAACATCTTGCGTTTGCCATGGGCCTTGTGAGCTTTTGACACCTTGATTTCGGCCTTTTTTGCCAGTCTTACCTCCCACCTATCATGGAACATGTTGTTCGACGATGTACAGGGGTCAAGGTCAGGGTCAAGGTCAACCTAGGTCATCTAAGATAATTGCGTTTTAGGCAAGCTGAATTTACTTTTTGTGAAGTTTTTTTGACTGCATTTTTGGTAAAAGCTTCTCAGATCATGATTTCATGTAATATGGACACAAAAACAATCGGTGCACACATCAGTATACACACAGACACACACAGACATACAAACACATATAACTGACCTTGACCTAACTTGACCTGAAATAACCTCAGCAGCAAAAATCTGGTCGGGTAGTGTGACAAAGAGGTTCTAGCTGGCTTGGCACCAGAAAACGGCATCGTCATCGGTATATGGTAAGCAGCGCACTTGATATCCAACGGTGACCCAAAACAGCAACATTTTTTAGTTTGACCTGACCTGGAAGGTCAATGACTGACCTGAGAAGGTAAAATCGGGTATCATTGGATTCGTCTCTTCCCAAAGAATCTTTTTGGTCTTTACCGCTAAGCTCTATCTCCAACAGGAACGAAACGGCGCGGGGGGGGTGGCAACCACCCCCCCATGTGCGTTCTAGGATGGGAAAATGGCATGTGCGGGCGAGGGTTATAGCGGCAGTGTAATTAGATCCGCAATGTTTATAAGAGCCTTAGTAATGTGCACTGTCTGGTGCCTGCTCGTCGAGTGGCTTGCCACCTCCCCTGTTATCCCATGCACACTGTGCCAAACTGAAGTCCACCGCACGCTGCGCCGGTGAGTGGAATGTGATGTTCCAGGGCGATTTGCATATTCATGTTCTAAAACAGCAGCGAAGTTAAAAAGCTAAATGTGTTTTAGAATGGAGGGCTAATCGACACTCCCCGCAAACAATGCATTTTCCACTTTTGATTGTCGTATAGGTATGCACAATGGCACATATTATAAGGAGGGCTTCATTCGTTCTGGTATTATCTACCTAAAGTAAAATGTAAATGTTTTTTTATCAAAAGTTTGTACAAATAGTTTTCAAATGTTTTACTGTTTTAGATATTTATTTTGCCTAAAATAAAAACACTTTGACATGCGTGAGATCATTTCAAGCCTCGTTATATTAATAATAATCATGTCATCCATCCTCGCCCACATAAAAAGAGATGCAATAACTTCCAGACCGTCCGGGGTAATTTCTATTCAGGCGCCGTACACCACTCCTTGCACTTGCTTCCACCGGACGTCACATGAGCCGGGCTAACGTAAACTTTGTTCTTGATATTGCCTTGGGCCGGAATAACATAGCCGGCATTAAAGTAAAGTAATATATAATACTGAACGAGGCCGGTGTAAATAAATTTTCAAGACCGAGGTCCTTACTGAATTTTTGAACGAGGCCGAAGGCCGAGTTCAAAAATCAGTAAGGACTGAGGTCTTGAAAATTTATTACCGGCCGAGTTTGGTATGTATTTTACTGTATGCCAACGATAAAATAATTGTCTAGACCGAAGCTCTTAGCCGTTTGTTGAACGAGGACATCCCAAAATGTTGACTTGGTAATTCGTTTTTGACCGTGGTCACTTTGCTTACACCAGTTATTACCACACCCCTCAGGCTAATGTATTTGAATAGGCCAGGCATACAGTAAAACGGAAGATCTGGCTAATTGCCAGCTAGTAACTTCCCCCTACCCCGACCAGGGCCTCGGCCTGTCGGGAGCAAAATTCAAAAAAAAAAATTCACTGAATATCACACTGGCAGCTCACTAACTGCGGCTGACCTTCAACAACGCCGTCGTTCAACGATTTGGTCGAGCTGTGAGTCCTTTCGAAGCATTTGGTCTGTGCCATATGCCTTTGTTGTAGGCGATAGTTTAGCACCGAAAGCGCTAAGCTGGAGTCCAACCAATCGCTGAAAGTCAGTCATGTTTATACCTAAGTACACGCATGTGCATTGTGTATATTTCCGATAAAGCATGATATAAAGCACTTAGCAAGGACGGAATGTTATGCACAAAATAATGATTTTTTTGCAACATTCATATCGTGCCATTGTTCTAGGATATCATTAAAAGGCTGAAGCAGTCCGTTGCCTATTGTTCGCTCTATGTCATTGCTGTTAAAAATGATCAGCATGCATTCGTTTTTCTTTTAGTATTTCCAGATGGAATGTTATATAATGATTCTAAATAAAGCGTTTGAATTAGATTATGATAATATTTGGAATATCGAGCTAAACGAGGATGGGTGCGCACTTTGCAGGCCATAATACCAGACGGACTTATCCAAAAATAGCTGCACCATTTGGAAATTCCGGTGAGCAGACGCTCCTTATCAGGATTCCGGACACTAAGCTGCATTACCGACTAATTACCTTGCTTCATCACCATCGCCGTAACGTCTACGACCGCCTGAGTCCTCTTCAGCACTCAGCAGCCTCTTCACATGACCCCCTCCTCCCTCTCCGTAGGTCAGTCGTCCGTACCAGATCGGGGCCACTCCGCCTTCTCAGGCCGAGATTCGCGGAACTCAGGGATCGGCCGGCTATCGCCCACTGCAGGCGGACAGCTCGACCGTCCGTCCGACCGGCCGGCCGAGGTCAAAGGTCGCCGGTAGCGTGACGGGTTGACCTTCCCCCGGGCGCCCGGGCTGATTGGCCCGCGGCACCTTTCTGCCGGCTGGCGGATGCCGCCTCCGCTGCCGAGGGTCGGCTTCATCGCCGTGCTGGTCACATAGCTCGTATAATGAAATCGCTCCGATAAGGTCGGAGCGGCGCGGCGGGGGCCGGTCAGCCGGGCGCGCTGCGCCGTCAATAGCCGGCCATTAACGACCATACGAACGACAATTAATGACTTACTATCGACAGCTGCGCTTAATTTTCAACCCCAAATGTCTGCAGTGATGACGGCTAATCCGCAGCCGATGTGGAACGGTCCGGATTGGATGTAAAGAATTGGAGCCCGGTTATGGGCAGTTGTTTGGTTTCGTTGGTTGGACGCTGGTCCGCCAAGGTGCAGCAGTTAAAAAACACACACTAATTAGCCTATCCTAAGTCTCTGTTTTGCAGCCGAATGCAGAATGAGGTAACATATGGATAGTGGACATTTGAGAACAGATAACAAAATCAAATCAAA